TTTGGGTGGTATATTTTGATGGAGAAAAAATAAATAGGACAAAATATCCTACTTAACTGTCATTGAAAGTGACACCTTTGGCCAGGTGCAGTAGCTCACGCTTGTAATCCCAGCACTTTGGGAGGCTGAGGTGGGCAGATCACCTGAGGTTGGGAGTTTGAGACCAGCCTGACCAATGTAAGGAAACCCTGTCTCTACTAAAAATACAAGAATTAGGCATGGTGGCCCATGCCTGTAATCCTAGCTACTCGAGAGGCTGAGGCAGGAGAATCGCTTGAACTGCGGAGACAGAGGTTGCAGTGAGCTGAGGTGGTGCCATTGCACTCTAGTCTGGGCAACAAGAGTGAAACTCCGTCTCAAAAAAAAAAAAAAATGACATCCTTATATCCTACTGAATATATAGTATATTCGGTACCATGTAATGTCAGGAATTATTACATATTTATATGTAATTATACTTTTCATGGCAAGTTGGTTCTTTCTAATCTGAAGTGCTATCACTATTTTTGTGTTAAAATTATATTTAATTTTTACATATCAAGGATTATCAAGAAAAATTTAAATTAACTGGCTTTTCTCAAATGCATACTATCTGTGTTTTATATATTCAGAATAAAATTAAATAATAGAAAGTGTCATAGCGATAGTTTCTTACACTTTGCATAATTCTGGTCTTTACCTACAAGATTTTTTTTTTAAAAAGGCAAACACCAATTGAGTGTATATCCACACAGAAATGAAATAGAACAATATATTTACTGTCTGTTCATTCATAAATTCACCTAACATTTATCAAGCCCATGTTCTTTTTTTTTTTTTTTCTTTTTTTTTTTATCTTTTTCTTTTTTAAGACCGTATCTCACTCTGTCACTCAGGCTGGAATACAGTGGTGCAATCCAGCCCACTGCAACCTCTGCCTCCCAGGTTCAAGTGATTTTCCTATCTTAGCCTCCCGAGTAGCTGGGGATTACAGGTGTCCACCACCACGCCCAACTATTTTTTGTATTTTTTAGTAGAGACGATGTTTCACCATGTTGGCCAGGCTTGTCTCAAACTCCTGACCTTAAATGATCCACTCGCTTCGGCCTCCCAAAGTGCTGGGATTACAGGCATGAACCACCATGCCCAGCCTCAAACCCATGTTCTATTGGAGGTTCTGAGTATATGGAGATGAATAAGTGATTCCTGCCCCTAGGAATTTTCAGCCTGGGAGTTTGTAGTAAAATACACCTTGCTAAACAACTAACCCTAAAGTTTTAAGAGTTTAATTTTGGGACAAACATGTTTAAATCCCGTAAAAACAAAATGTATCTTTTTTCATCACTGACCCTTGCAGCTTTTCAGAAATGATACTTTACACATTGGTGAGTCTACCCTTCAACAGTTTATTTAAATTATTAGGCTCATTGCTTTATTTTACCATCAGATTCCCAGATCATCCTTTCCCTACCAGGTTTCATCCTGTAAAAAATGTAGCTCTAAATTAACGCAAGATAAAAACATTATTTTCCTCAGTTTTATTTCCCTTCTTGTCCTTTTTGGCACGACCCAAAAGGCAGTAAGAATATAAATGCTTGTTCCACTTTTTTGAGAAAACAGAAAAGCTCCCATTCAGAGGTGCAGCTGGTGTTGTCCAGTGACGCTTCATGCAGAATGAGTGCAAGGCTAGAAGCGAGCCGCAGCCACACATGCAGCCGGGTGTGTGGTATTCCCCGTGCCACTGTTAGAGCACACGGCAGACTGGAAATCAAGTCCTGCGTAGCACTTGATTCTTTTTTTTGCCACATACATATATGCATACACACATATACGTACACAAAATGAACAATTGCACAGTAACAGTTCCTACAATGCTCAGAATTAAAACTTCAAAAGATACAAGAAGTATGCTGAAAACTGAGTTTCCCTGTTACCTGCTACTCCTACTCGCTGTATCCCTCCCCAGAGGCAAGAGTTGTTCCAGTTTCTTATGTATCTTTCCAAAGAGATGCTGTCAAAAGCACCTCTGCCAGCCTGTTCTCTCTCCTTCCAAAGCCAGACACTTCATTTCAGACAATTGTGTATTCAAAGTATCCAGTTATATATTAAATATTAAAAGCAAATGACAACAGTGTGTACAGTAAGTTTCCATTTTGAAAATAATAGTACATTAGAAGAGAAATGTAATATAAACCAGAATGGTAAATGATGCCTAGGTTGGGGTGTGGGGGTGCACTTCCTTGGTAGCCACAGCAGTTTAATATGTGAACTTGTGAAAATAAAAGCATGTAATCTTTTCATAATAAAGAAATTGTTTTAACGAAAACAAATTCACAAGCAGTCTTCTGAATGTATAAATGTGTACCCGTGTGTGAAGACTGTGAGTTTCCTTAGACTTCAGGCACAACTGGTTGCCTTCTAAGGCCCTAGTGAGTCATTATCTGTCCTTACTTTGAAGCAATGATAACAAGTTGAACTGAAAGTAAATTCTTAGATGTGGATAGTTTTTATTCAGATCTTGGATCCTTCGCAAGTAAGTTAACCAAAAACAGGATAGGGAACAGAAAACATGGTGTTAAATCCTACACATTTTGAGTCCAAAATCCTGCTAGTGAATGCATATTATTATTTTCTCTCATATTATCATTGTTGGTGTAACCCAAGAAGCATGGCCATTTTAACCACTTAAACAGTTGTTAACTAGTAATATTTTTCATCCTAACTAGTTCAGGCTCCTGGTTTCCAAATAGAAAAAAATCACACAAAATATGTATACTGGCTAAGAATGCACTCAGCATGTAGCATTTTTCAAGAGCAACTTGATAGAATATTCACAGTTAATTTTAAAGTTAAGTACTCATTAATTGAGTGATCTATTTCTCTGAATGTATCTTCCGGTAGCAGTCAGTTGTTATATATTGGGATGTTTAACCTGGTAAATTTTGTTTCTAACATTATTTGCAAATATAACAAACATGAAGAGAAACTTAGTGTCCAAAATAGAAGGATGTTGAATAAATTTTGCCATATAACTAGAGTTAAGATGGTATGCGATGAACTATTATTACCCATCAGTAAATTGGGTTCTTGAAGATAAGTTGAGAACATGAGAAAGTATTTAAAAAATTATGTTATATCTAAAAGAATGATGAAAATATTCATATCTTACCTTATCAAGTATGTATTTGAAGGTAGTTGTTTTTTTTTTTTTTTTTTTTTAAGAATTTTTTTTTTTTTCTACAACGACTATATGTTACTCCTTTAAAGTTCTAAGAATAGTTTAAATCATCTTAATAAAATTGCTAAAGAAAATAATTACTAAGTTTGGGATTTTTTCTTTTCTTTTTAAGCTGTGGATGAGAAGTTTTCTTTTTATATGATTTTCTTCCCTCTTAGAATATCTGAAAATTCTACTGTTGAAGTATTCTTGCTAATACTGTTAGCAAGTTTTTAAAATTCTATTTTTGCATAATACTGATTTTATTCATTCACAGAGCTGAAGATGAACACAAATAGGTAGTAATTCTTTCCTTGAGTCCAAATGCAGTTTTACCTTCTTAACTGCTTAGACAATATCCTTTTATTGTTTGGCTTTATAAATATCACTATAGCTACTTGAGTTCCCTTGCTTTAATCCTTTCTTGTATGAGGGGCACTTTTCTGTATTTTTACAAGTTATTTTTCTATCTTTCGTTTATTTTTTGTTTTAAGACCTATTTTCTGTGTTAGGGCAAAATAGCTTGTCATTATCTTTAAATTATATGAGATTCCCAGCAAAATCATTCAAAAGTCACAGGAAGCCTTTATGATCGTTGATCAGGTGTAGTTCTGTGTGTCTGTGTGTTTGCTTTTTATGCCGTTTAGTGTGTGTTCATAATACACTTATTGTGGATTGGACAAGTGGCATTTGTGTACATATGATCTATGAATGTGAATTGATAAAATACATGAATATACATCCTGATGGCGTTATGAAATGAAATACAGACCTGTGTGTGTGTGTGTGTGTGTGTGTGTGTGTGTGTGTGTGTGTGAGTGGTCATCGTTGACTGTGCTTGAAGTTCAAAGTCAGGCAGAGGCAGTTGAGTAAGTTGTAAAATAGCCCTTCTTGGGAAGGGTATGCACTTGAGTACGAAACAGAACTCTCAGTGTTAGTTTTACATTTCTGTTTGGTGGAATGTAAGGTTATGGAAACAACTGTAAAAATAATTTGTCTGAAAGAAGTCTGGTTGCGGAAATATAATAGAGAAAATATTTGAGAATATGGTTCATCGGCGAGTGCAACAGATACTCTTCCCCAAGCACCACATGGTATGGATCAAAGCATCCCATGACTTGGATCCGTGTGGCCAAATCATTACGTATTGATTGGAACCCCACTGGAGGATTAACCCCTTCATGTTCATGCTAAATTTTCTCTCACTTTTGGTGTTAGGAATTTTAGGAGTATAATCTTCTTTGCCATTATTAGCTTTTTTTTGAGCTAATCATCTGCTTGGATATATTTATCTTTCTAAATTATTTTGGTATTATTCTAAATTATTTAATTGTACTCTGCTGGATAAAATTAACTTGGGAAAAATATGTGATTATATAAAAGCAGTTTCAAGGGGAAGGAAAGAAGAAAAAAATGGATGGTATTCCTTGTAGATATAGCATGAGAATCTCAAAATCAAGTACAGATTTTATAATTTTCATTATGTAGATGAAGTAAGTTCTAGCTTTTTAAAGACTCCTTCGCAGTCTGAGTAAAGAGCTTTGCATCTAACAAAAGCCCGTCAAACACTTTTTCATACATAGATGTATATTTCTAACATTTGACTAAACATATTTAGGTACACTTTAACTCTTGCTTTTAGCAAACAATGCAGAATTAGTCAATTACATGGGATGGGGGAAATCACAGATTTGTCTTGTCCACATTTGGCCATGTGGGCTCCTCCTACCTTTTATATCCTCGTCTGGTGGAATGGTTCTTGGCAGCAAATTCATTTTCTGGTCTTCTGTGTGCTTTCTTTCAGTTTGTCCCATGAGGAGCACCCCCATAGCCATCCTCTCTATGGACATGGTGTGTGCAAGTGGCCAGGCTGTGAAGCAGTGTGCGAAGATTTCCAATCATTTCTAAAGTAAGAATGATTTTATTTTTTTCTTCTTTTACATGCCATCACCTCCCACGAATGCTTTTGCTCATAAAATGCCTTTTTGATGAAGAGTTTCACTTCACCCTTTTGCAAGTGGACTCTAAATCATAAGGTCCAGTGCACTGTCAGGAATAGTTACAAAATCTATTGAGGGTTGTACTACAATGGGAAAAAGACTTAGATCTAAAGGCATAAGTCTCAGTAAGAGCCTATGTTTACCCATTTTTCAGAGTGACAAGCATTTAAAAAAAAATGATCCCAGTATTAAACTTGCAGTTATTTAGCTTTTACTTTTATTCATGTCCTTACATAAATCAATAGCATGCACATTTTTATATTTTATAAAAATATAAAAATAATTTTATATTTTTATAAAATTGGTGTCAATTACTAGCCAGTTGCATCTTGGTGATTGGGCCCATTCTTTGTTATACCATTGACTTTATAAATGTAGAAAGTGGATGCCGAGAAAAGCTACCAATTTGATTCTTAACTTCCTATATTGGTATTAACTTTAGTTCAGATTCTTGTCCTTACAGGGAGAGTGGACTAACTGTAATTTGAACCTATAACACCGATAAAGCATCTCTGTAAGGAAATACGTTAATCTCATAGATGAAGTGAAATGCTTCTATGCTATTCCTTACTTGTGTTAACTTGTAAGTTAAAAAAGAAATTAGACCAAACTGCCCTGCATTTTTGTATCATATAAATATATTCATAATATCATTGAATCATTAACCTATGTATTGAATATAATGTTCCATGATATTATAGACATCATTTGATAATCAAACATATGCACATGTATAACTATAACATATATGCCCATGTGTACATCTGGGCATGTGATGGTTTACAGATTGGGTGTTGGGGACCATTTCCTTCTAGCTTTTCTGTCTCATTCAAGCCCCAGGGAAACAGGGGTGAGCTGATTTATGTGCAGGTCTCCAGCTTTGTGTGGTCTTTATATTGTTAGAACAATCTCTGTATCTATCTTTATGGACCTGGATACAAATATTGTAATAAAGCCATCCTTAGAGAGATATCCAGTGTTACCTGCAAGCAGTTTTGGTGAATATAATTTTTTGATTAATGAATGGAAGCCTGTGAATCTATTTTATAACTTCCTTGCCTCAGTATTATACGAAAGCATTATGTGATCGTTGAAAACTTAAGTACTTACAGATATTTTAAAAGAGATGTCCAGAATTGCTTCTAAATATCAACAACCCTTTACAATTAATTTAAAAGCAGCAATGCTTTTAAATTAAGCAACAACCCTTTACAATTATTATTATTCAGATTAGTGATATTGGGCTTTGTTTTGTTTAGAAATCACTCACTATAGAATTTTTGTTTTGTTCTTTCCTCATCATTTGCCTTATCATATTTATATAATGAGAAAAAGAACTTGGCAGAAGCCACTTGTAAATTTCTGATTTTTTACTTTTATATCAGTGCTAGGTTTGATAAATATCTTGGTACTGATTTTCTCCATCCGTAGAATGGCTGATAAATAAACACCTGTAAATATGATTTATTGTCATAAAGTCTCTAGAACTATATAATTGCTAGCTCAGGGCCATGTATCAGTTTTAGAGTCAGAAAGGGAAACGACAGTTTCTAGACTTATTTAAAAAATTTTTTTAATGGCTAAAGTATTTCTACCCTAAAAAAATCCTCAAATTATAGGTTCATTTATTATGTGAGCTGATAATTAGGTTATATTATTAGGAGATTTTATATATATATCTACCAATTATATATATATATCCCAAAAAGGAGAGAGAATGATTTCAGTATTAAAGAAAATAAAGATGATTAGAATTGGGGCCTAGGCTCAATTCCTGTATGAAAGCCCATTTCTCTTCTAAAGATATTAGGAGTCTGGCACTTGTATAGGAAACCACCTATCAATTATTTATTAATGGTTTTGCACATGACACAACATGTTCTCAGTTCCTGTTTGCTCAGTGGAATTGGAATGCCCACTATCAACCTGCAACTGTTGCTTAGTTATTTCCTGATACTTACTTATTGACTTATATTTGTAAGATGACTTTTGTTTGTAAGTTATAGAAACCCAGCTTAAATTGGCTTAAGTGAAAAAAATAAACAAGTGGGGGATAATTGGCCCCTGTAGCTAGGAAGTCCAATGGTACAGCTGGCTTCAGGCGTGGCTGGATCCTGATACTTAACCAAGGTCGTTGGAGTATTGATTGTCCATTAGCTCTGTTTTTCTGTGTTGCCTTCATTTGGGAGCCCTTTCCAAGTGGAACTGAAGAGGACAGATTTATCAATCCCACAGTGCACCTCTTTCCCTGTAGTTCCAGAAAAAGTTCTAAGCAGACTGTCATTGACCCAGATTGACTTATGTATTCTAGCTTTCAGCCAATGACCTGCCCAGGCTTGCATCACACGCCGGCTCTAGAACAGAGGGAGATGTTCACCCCACGTGAACCACATGGGGACTAGAGTTGAGAGTTGGTTCAGGAATATAAAAATGAATATTATAAAGTAACAAAGGGAGAGCAAATGCTGAATAAGAAGAAACCCCCCTAGATGCGTTCCCAAGTTACACATTGACTGGTTGTCTATAACAAATTCAGGATTTTAGTTTTCCTCTACAATGTGGTTTTAACTCTTGGAAATTCAGAGTTGTCTTCAGGTATCAGGATCTTGCCGAGCACAGTGGAAAATAAATTAGTCTTCTTGTAGATTCACATCTCCCACTTCAGTCTAAAGGGAAATCAAATTGGCTTTGATGAAACCAACTTTGTTTTCCATTGAACTGAACTGAAAGAAGCTAGCAAACTTCTTGTGGTTCAAATAAAAACCACCTGGCTTCTATGAATGATGTCATTGGGGGGTCATTGTCATCAGAGTGTGATGCATCAAGTACTTTTCTCAGATTGCTGGATTCGGAGATCCTGAAAACATCTTCAGTTGTTTCCGTGGACCAAAAGCTTTCTAGTCTACGCTTCTCTTCAATTATCCCTCTCTTTTTAGAAAGGATTTCTTATTGGTTAGGCAAATTGATAGCAGTGTTGCTTGGATTCTCCTTAGTATTCTTACTCAATAAAAGGTAGCATTGCTTTGACCTTGATTTCAGTGCTACTTCATAGAGTTTTTTTTCACCTGTTTCCTATTCCCTCCCTAGTGATAGTTTATTATTAAATAGCACTGAACCTTAAAACAGGCATAATCCCAAAGTGCTTCACGTATATTAACTCATTTAATCCTCACAACCAGCTTAGGCTAATATTGTGGTACTATTCCCAGCATACCGTTAAGGAAACTAAAGCCCAGAGAGGTTAAGTGATGTACCCAAGGTCACACAGCTAATAAGAGATGGAGCCAAGGTCCAAACCCAGGCAGTCTGGCTTGAGAGGACTTACTCTTAATTGCTGCATGATACTGCCTGGTAAGGGGCAGTACTTTTTATTAACTGTTTGCTTTCTCCTTGGCAGTGGATATAAAGAAAGTTTTGGAGAAAGGCTGATGGGGTAGTGAAGACATTGTTAAGATGTTCTTTGAACTAGCCATGTATCATCTGCGCCTCAGAATCAGCACATGTGATTTGGGATGGTAACCGGTTTTTAGGGTTGTTAGGAATAAACGCTGCACCGAGCAAGCCACAATGGCTCACCCCTGAATGCACTGGGATGCTAAGGTGGGAGGATTTCTTGAGGCCAAGAGTTTGAGAGCAGCCTGGTCAACATAGCAAGACCCTGTCTCTACAAAAATAAAAAAAATAAAATAGCTGGGCGTGGTGGCGTGTGCCCATAGTCTTAGCTACTTGGTAAGCTAAGGTGGCAGGCTCACTTGAGACCGCAGTGAGCTATGATCATGCCAGGGTGCTGCAGCTTGGGTGACACAGCAAGACCCTGTCTCTAAAAGATAAATAAATGAATGAATGAAGAAAAGGTACGTCATATAAACTGCCTAGTCCACACTAGGCATTCTTTAAAAGCATTAGAACTTCTTAATATACTTAGATATATTTATTTTTTAGGATGGGTAATCTTAAATATCCCAAAATTTCTGACCCTCTACCTAGGAAAAGGAGTTGTGACTATACAAAGCATGGATATATCCAAAGAAATTGTTCTGTAATAGAACATTTTAATCATAAACCTCTGGTGAAAAGTCCCACACAGAGGGGAGGGCATGGCACATTTTTTCCATAAAGGGGTAGGCATAAATATTTTCAGCATTGCAGGCCATACAGTCTCTGTGACAGCAACTCGACTCTGCTCTGCCATTGTGGTGCAAAAGCAGCCATTGATCATGTGTAAGGAACAAGTATGGCTATGTCCCTTGGACAACAGTTCGCTGGAACATTTTTGGTGTCACCAACATGTCTTTAGCTGAGGAACGCTTTTGTGGCTCCGGACATAGCTATCCAGGTTTATGTTAGCTTGGATTTATAGAACCCTCGAGTTAGTCATATCTGGGGGGAAATACCCATGTGTGTCATGCCCCATGACTTCATTGACCAACCATGATTTTCATACTTCCTAGATCTTGGGTTCTTCCACCCAGTTTCTAGTGTTCATTCTTGGGGAGAGGAAGTAACTTTGCCAGGTAACAGCTGTCTGGCCTTCCTCAGCTCCAGATTAATAAGCTGTAACTGTTACAGAGGCCAAGCTTGGTTCTCCAGGATAAAAATCTCATCTGTCAATACTGTGCTACTGTTAACAGAGAGAGGGGTTCATAGAACAGGGCCTGGGGGGAGGGGGGACTCACAGGTCTAAACCTGAAGCCTATTTTTCTCCCTCCTGAGGAAGAGATACCATAACTGTTGGTAAATCAAAACCGGAGATTTGACACTTTTCTGTGATCATTCTGCAGCGTTTGTTCCCAAGGTGAGGTATACCACAGGGCCCTTGATTTCAAAGATAAATACTGTACAAATAACCAGGCTGTTGTCTTTCCCTCACCGCCAACAGAGGGACACTTTATCAGAATCAGCAGATACC